ATGATGTTATCTTTTACAAAATACATAATTTTTTGATCATCAGTAATTACGATTTGTTTTTCTACTATAACTTTTACAGATTCCTCAGTTTTCTCATGTTTTGTTTTAAAGTACGTTAGAACAACTTCATCGCTGTGTATATACCAGCCCTTTGGTAAAATTATACTATCTTGAATATTTTTCAAGTTTATGCCCATAGTTGTGGATAAATTCTATTCAATTAAAATTAACCATTATCAAAAAAATGATCAAGATTATTATAAAATATAAATATAAATTTTCTTAATATACTGAAATCTTTGTATCTTACTTTATATTTATAAAATATAGTAAAACTTTTTAAAAGAGTTAAGTTTGAATTTACCTGCTGATCACTATTTAAATCAATAGTAGACACTTCAGTATCTTGATAAGAACTACTTTGCTTAAAAGAGCAACTTTCCTTTTCAGGGGACCAAATCAATTGCTTCCTACATTTAAAACTTTTTTGAATACCTGTTGTATCTTCAATAGTTCTCTTAGAGGTACCCTTTAAATTATATTACATAATTGAATTAATGACTACTACTGTAAGCAAGCTATATTATACATTTTTCTATTTTTAATACATGTAGCTTACCTCAATTACAGAAAATTCACATTCATTATTTTTTTCAACATTTTGCTGTGGAAGTTGAGGAATAGCACCTTTATCTAAACTAAATCTAGCTCTATTTGGAAAATGAATGTCCTGAATTTGTCATAGTTTATATTTCACATTTATTTCAGTTGAAGAAATTTTAAAAATCCAATTATTAAAAGTAAACATACCTTAACTCCGGCATAATTTTTAATTATATCTCGTGAGAGAAAATGTTTTTCACAAACAAACTTAATTTTAGTGTCATGACCATTGATTGTTGACACAATCTTGGTCCAAGTTTCTACAGATGCTTTAGGAACACCAAAAAAAGCACATTCACCGTCAAAGCTCTTACAATTTATTATTGAACATTTTCTTGACATCTTAAGAAAATATGTACTCTTAGTAATAAGTTGCCTATGTACCTACTGGTATGACTTGCCTATTATACAAATGTGCAAGGTAAAATGAAATATTATAATTTATAACTAATCAAATTTCAATACCTAATTGTGTAATGTGTTACTTGTGTTGACATGATGTTACATGTTGGAACAAGATTTATGTATAGATTATTTTTATATTTATAATAATTAAGAAATATATATATCTAGAAATCCTTCTTCAATGTCCCCTCCCACACTACTTCTTATGGACACAATCAACTTTGCACTGAATGCTACGCCATACAAATCTTAATAATTTAAATTTTTAACAATATATTATACAGGGTGTAACAGATAGAACTGACTTTTGGAATAACTTTTGTTCTAATTAATATTTTTAAAATTTTTTTTTTTTGTTAATTATTAAGAGACACTTGCGCTACTCGTACAATATAAAAAAAAAATATTTTTATTTTGAATAATAAAAATAAAAAATTTAAATTTGATTAAAGTTTTATTGGAAAAATTCAAAAATAGCCAATTTGTAAATTTGGTTGAAAGAAACATTTTTATGGTAAAAATATTTATCTAAATCAATTGGTTTATTTTTTAGAATTTTTTAAAATATCAAAATTTTTTTGCATAAATTTATTTGGAACGTAATAACTTTTTTCAAAATATTATTTTCGGAAATTTCCTGAAATGAGTATATTTCTTAAATTATTCATTAATTATATAATTTTCACATTTTTTTTTGTACGTTTAATTAGCATTATTTTTATTTATTTTTTTAGTCAGTTCTATCTGATACACCTGGTATACCTATACAATATAATAAAGTAGGTAAGCAGTGGCGTAGTGGTAGTGTCCATATAAGATACAAATAACCTATAGACAATAGACATATTATCGATGAGTTTTAAATAAATACATATATAAACTAATTTTTATTTTTTGCCATGGACTACCTCCGTAAATACTCCAAAAAGTTGTATCCAGTCTAAAAACATATATAATAATATGTTAAAAGTTAAAATTATTTTATTAACTTTTTAACTCGTTAATGTCCAGCCTTTATACCACTGTCCACTACTGTTCTATGTTTATACTCATGTATGATATATATATATATAT